GCTGCGTCGGAGGACGCTTCGGGAACGAGTATGCCCACACTACCAGACTTTCAAATCTTCGCCTAGTGTGGAAGCCTGCACAGCTAGGGCGAGAGAACAGAAGAGCCAGGAGTGGCTCGCATGTCTAAGCCATAGACAAAGGTTAGGGGCGTGGACCATCCCACAGCGTCGCAGATGTCCTGCATCGAGACACCTGCCAAGAAGGCCTTGGAGGCCGCCACACTTCTAGTAGAATGAGCCTTGACCCCTAGAGGTGAAGGGAGATCAGAGGACTCATAAGCGATAGAAATGGCATTTACTATCCACCGACTGAGGGTCTGTTTTGTAGCTGGAAGACCTCTCTTTGGGGGACCATAGCACACAAGCAGTTGGTCCGCCCTTCTCCACAGGGCACCTTTGTGGACGTATGCGTCCAGTGCTCACACTGGAAACATACAGTTAAGCTTCTGCTGGTCTGACTCCCTGCAGGGAGCCGGAGGCCTCTGCCTCAGTGCACCGCGGAGGAAACGTGTAACTAGGGGGTGTCTGCCCACTGACTGGCCACCGAGAGGGGCATGGTAGGCCGCAATGGCCGCCACGTAGACCTTCAGGGTGGAGTGGGTCAAACCTGCAGAGAATCAGGCCTGCAGGAACTCCAGCACTGTACCAACCGGGCAGTTAACTGGGTCGAGCTGGCAGTCTCCGCACCAAGAAGTTTCCACTTTAAGGCGTACAGTTTCCTCGTTGAGGGAGCTCTGGATTGGGGGATGGTCTCAACAACCTCGGTTGAGAGACCGGAAGCTATGAGCTTGTGCCCCCTCAGGGGCCACACCCACAACTTCCACAGCTCCGGGTGGGGGTGGACGATCGTACCTTCCACCTGTGAGAGGAGATCTCTCCTGATGGGAATCTCCCATGGAGTGCCGTCGAGGAGAGAAATCAGGCCCAACACTCGGCCCGGCCAGAACAGGGCTACTAGCAGAAGATGGATCCCGTCCCGGCGCACTCTCTCCAGAACTCCCGGGAGCAGAGTGATCGGGGGAAAGGCGTACAGACGAAGCCTCGGCCACGTTTGTACCATGGCATCCAGCCCCAGTGGAGCTGGATGAGTGAGAGAGAACGAGAGGGGACAGTGCGATGTCTCTCGAATCGCAAACAGGTCCACCTGAGCATGGCCAAAAACTCTCCATATCTGCTTCACCACCTCGGGGTGAATTATCCATTCCCCGGGCCTCGGCACCTGCCTCAACAGGATGTCTGCTCCCAAATTGAGATACCCAAGAATGTGAACTACTCTCAGCGAGAGAAGTTTGCCCTGGGACCACACAAGAATCTGGTACGCTAGTTTGTACAAACGGCGTGAGTGCAGACCTCCCTGGTGGTTAATGTAAGAGACCACCGCTTTGTTGTCAGTGCGCACCAACACATGGTGACCTCTTAGGTCTGGGAGGAAGTGTCTTAGTGCACGAAGCACGGCCAGCATCTCCAGGCAGTTTATATGCCATGGCAGATGGCGACCACTCCACAGACCGCTGGCAGGGTGGCCACTTATGACCGCACCCCGACCGGTGAGGGATGCGTCCGTCGCTAACGTTATGCAGCGACAAGGAGCTCCCAGCACTGGGCCCTGAGACAAGAACCAAGGTTTCCTCCACATGTCCAAGGCATGTAGGCATCGCAGCGTGACCTTGATCATGCAAAGCGGGTTTCCCCTCAGGGAGAACCCCTTGGTCTTGAGCCACCACTGTAGGGGTCTCATGTACAGCAGGCCAAGAGGTATCACGTTGGACGCAGCTGCCATCAGACCCAGCAGTCTCTGAAACTGCTTGACAGTGAGTGACCGGTCTTCTCTGACTCTCGCGACTGCGGTGAGGAATGACTCGATCCGAGCAGGAGAAATACGTGCATCGTGGTCGAATCCCACACCACGCCCAGATAAGTGGTTCTTTGTACTGGAGAAAGCACACTTTTCTTGGTGTTAAGTCTTAACCCCAGCTCTTTCGTGTGAGTGAGAACGACATCTCGATGTCGAACCGCCATGTGCTCTGATTGAGCTAATATCAACCAATCGTCAATGTGGTTGAGTCATGAAAATGTGGGGTGAGAGTGCAAAGCCAAAGGAAGAACCGGTATTGGTAGGCTTTTGCCCCCAAAAGCAAACCTCAGGAACTTCCTATGATGAGGAAGGATGCCCTTCATCCTTTCTCGGAACGGTGAAGTACCGGCTGTAGGACCCGGACTCTGCTGCGCGAGGAGGGACAACCTTGATGGCCTCCATCCTCAGAGAGTGTCTACTTCTCTTCCATTACCAGAGCCTGCTTGGGTCCCACCAGGGTGGGAAAGGCCCCATTGAATTGAGGCGGAGGAGAACCGAACTGGATTCTGTGGCCTCTCACTACAGTGTGCAGGACCCACTGAGACACGTTTGGCAGTAGTTTTCACGTTGCCAAATAGTCTACTAAGGGAATCAGTCTCTCAAGACTGACCTCTGGTGTAACCAGAGTGGCTAATTCGGTGCCCTGAAGCGGCGGACCGGCAGGGGATGACCGTACTAGCGAGCCTCTTAGCACCGCTGTTTCCAGGTGGTAACTGAGAGACCGCTGCGCCCTGGAACACCGGCAGGATTGGCAGACTGATCTCCTGAGGGTACGGAGGAGAGACAGGCACCATGCAATGCGGTGTACACCGCTCTTCCCCAGAGGGGCCTGCCCTCCAAGGTCCTGAGCCACAGCATCAGGACTCTCATAGCTGAAGTCTCCTATTGAAAACGACGGCCCTCAGACCCACGTCGTCTGTTAGGGAGACTAGACCAGAGCCTGCTCAGGGCAGGACCCAATGAAGCACACTTGGCAGGGGCTCCCACACAGCCAGGTGATCTCCTGAGGGAACCAGTCTCGCGAGACTGGCCTCTGGTGCGCCTAGAGCAGCTAGCTCGGTGCCCTGAAGCGACGGACTGGCAGGGGACGACCAAACTAGCTGCTCTAGAGACCTCCGTAGAGGTAGCGAGCCTCTTAGTACAGCTATGTTTCCGGGCGGTAACTGAGAGAAGCGCTCGCCGGAGACCGCTGCGCCCTGGAACACCGGCAGGGTTGGCAGACCGATCTCCTGAGGGCACAGAGGAGAGACGGGCACCGTGTAATGCGGTGTACACCGCTCTTCCCCAGAGGGAGCTGGCCCTCAAAAAGTCCTAGGCCTTAGGCTTCAGGATGTTTATGACGAAGACTATCCAGCGAGAATGACGGTCTGCAGAACCACCTTCCGCTAGAAGCCTTCGGCCTGGGAGCGCCAATCTGACTCTAGACTCTGCGGAGTACGAGAAAATGTAAGAGACCACCGCTTTGTTGTCAGTGCGCACCAACACATGGTGACCTCTTAGGTCTGGGAGGAAGTGTCTTAGTGCACGAAGCACGGCCAGCATCTCCAGGCAGTTTATATGCCATGGCAGATGGCGACCACTCCACAGACCGCTGGCAGGGTGGCCACTTATGACCGCACCCCGACCGGTGAGGGATGCGTCCGTCGCTAACGTTATGCAGCGACAAGGAGCTCCCAGCACTGGGCCCTGAGACAAGAACCAAGGTTTCCTCCACATGTCCAAGGCATGTAGGCATCGCAGCGTGACCTTGATCATGCAAAGCGGGTTTCCCCTCAGGGAGAACCCCTTGGTCTTGAGCCACCACTGTAGGGGTCTCATGTACAGCAGGCCAAGAGGTATCACGTTGGACGCAGCTGCCATCAGACCCAGCAGTCTCTGAAACTGCTTGACAGTGAGTGACCGGTCTGGAACGGTGAAGTACCGGCTGTAGGACCCGGACTCTGCTGCGCGAGGAGGGACAACCTTGATGGCCTCCATCCTCAGAGAGTGTCTACTTCTCTTCCATTACCAGAGCCTGCTTGGGTCCCACCAGGGTGGGAAAGGCCCCATTGAATTGAGGCGGAGGAGAACCGAACTGGATTCTGTGGCCTCTCACTACAGTGTGCAGGACCCACTGAGACACGTTTGGCAGTAGTTTTCACGTTGCCAAATAGTCTACTAAGGGAATCAGTCTCTCAAGACTGACCTCTGGTGTAACCAGAGTGGCTAATTCGGTGCCCTGAAGCGGCGGACCGGCAGGGGATGACCGTACTAGCGAGCCTCTTAGCACCGCTGTTTCCAGGTGGTAACTGAGAGACCGCTGCGCCCTGGAACACCGGCAGGATTGGCAGACTGATCTCCTGAGGGTACGGAGGAGAGACAGGCACCATGCAATGCGGTGTACACCGCTCTTCCCCAGAGGGGCCTGCCCTCCAAGGTCCTGAGCCACAGCATCAGGACTCTCATAGCTGAAGTCTCCTATTGAAAACGACGGCCCTCAGACCCACGTCGTCTGTTAGGGAGACTAGACCAGAGCCTGCTCAGGGCAGGACCCAATGAAGCACACTTGGCAGGGGCTCCCACACAGCCAGGTGATCTCCTGAGGGAACCAGTCTCGCGAGACTGGCCTCTGGTGCGCCTAGAGCAGCTAGCTCGGTGCCCTGAAGCGACGGACTGGCAGGGGACGACCAAACTAGCTGCTCTAGAGACCTCCGTAGAGGTAGCGAGCCTCTTAGTACAGCTATGTTTCCGGGCGGTAACTGAGAGAAGCGCTCGCCGGAGATCGCTGCTCCCTGGAACACGGCATGGTCAGCAGACCGACCTCCTGAGGGCATTGAGGAGAGACGGGCACCGTGTAATGCGGTGTACACCGCTCTTCCCCAGAGGGAGCTGGCCCTCAAAAAGTCCTAGGCCTTAGGCTTCAGGATGTTTATGACGAAGACTATCCAGCGAGAATGACGGTCTGCAGAACCACCTTCCGCTAGAAGCCTTCGGCCTGGGAGCGCCAATCTGACTCTAGACTCTGCGGAGTACGAGAAGTGAGGCCCCCAGAATGAGGGGCTGGAACACGGTAGGTTGGGACTGCTCCCGCCCAGCAGCCCCTGTTGACAGCCTCAACCTCCTCAGAGGAAGAGAGTGTAAGAAATTATAGTCTGCCTCGACCCAGCTTCCACTCCAAATTGTGTATTAAACTATGCTCCTTTCCCTACAAAGAGCTTAATTATCATATAGATAATTCTTTCCGATCTTAATCATATGTAAATAGTACCTCCGGAGCGATAATTTGTCACTTAAAAAGTTATTCTTCATCAAGATCTTCAACGTCTTCACTTTTTCTTACAAGAGGTAAACTCGTGCTCTCACTTGAGAAAATTTATAATTATTTTTTTTATCCCAAGTGCCCCTATATATCTAACTTCTCATAGTCAGATAAAAACTTAATTGTATTCCTCAGAATTAAGTGCAGTCAAACAACCAGAGGAGTAAATACGGTCTGGTGAGTAAGATTCACATCAAAACCAAATGATGTAATATAAGCGTTGCCTCGGCAGCGCGCGAGCCACTCAGTCACACAATCAACATCAATCTCCTCAGAGAAAGATGGTCGCATCAGCAAGCTCTCACTCAGAAGGGGAATAACCACAGCGTGGGCTTCTAGCCTCGAGAACGAGCTCTAGATCTAGGGAACACGGGTGGAGATACCAAATGATGTAATATAAGCGTTGCCTCGGCAGCGCGCGAGCCACTCAGTCACACAATCAACATCAATCTCCTCAGAGAAAGATGGTCGCATCAGCAAGCTCTCACTCAGAAGGGGAATAACCACAGCGCGGGCTTCTAGCCTCGAGAACGAGCTCTAGATCTAGGGAACACGGGTGGAGATAGGACGAGCCGTCTCCAACCCGTCCACCAGATCATGTGCGATCCCCGCGATCTCAGTCGCCGCCGTGCCTCAGTAGCAGCGGGACCGCAATCACAAGATCACAGGCACGGACACACTCCTCGGGAGCGTGCCCGGCGAGAGCGGAGCGCTTAACAGTGGGAAAAGCACAATCCGCTCCCTAAGAGCCGACTGCGTGAGCTCCGCTCCCCATTAATGCGGCTCATTATAATATCAGTCATAATATGCTTGTGTAACTTATGCTTGTGCAACTAGCGAGCTCTTTGACGCCCTCCGTATCAATCTCCTCGGAGAAAGACAGGCAGAGCGTCGCGCCCTCTCCCCGGGGGGGATGTACCGCAGCGCGGGCTTAGATAGGGACTCGCCCATCTACATTCCCTCCATCGGATCCATATGCCAATCCCACGAGCACAGCCACTGCTCCGCCTTGGTGAAAGCGGGGCCGGCACTGCGAGAAACGCTAGTGAAGGCTCTCTCCTCAAAGAGAGCCCTCTGAGAGCAAAGCAAGGCAGTAACAAACGCTACCAAAACGGGCCGTCAGCTCCCTTTTTTTTCGAGAGCTGACTCTGCGTGCTTGCTCCCAAGCAGACAACAAACAAACTAAAGTAAAGTAACGCGGGCAGGGAGGAACACACAGACTGAACGCTGCCTGCCCTCGCCTAGGTGTCTGGTTTTGTCTTGAGATTTCATGACAGACAACACTAAATAAGACTCACAAACAGATATCAGACCGACACACACACGGAGCGCTTGCTGAACGACAGAAAGCTGATGCCAGTTTCACCGCACGTGCTTTTAAGCTTCCTGGTCGCTACATCACCCCGCCCGTGACGTCTCGCCCATCCATTGGACTGATTACACACGTGGTTCAGAGCCGGTCACACTGAAGGGCATTCCCGAAGCGTCCTCCGACACAGCTTGAGTTCCTGAAGAGGAACCTACATTACCCGTGATTCTGCAAACAAAACTCGACTAAACAGAGAACTGCAAAGCAAACTGGGCCAAAATAACTCATGAAGTACAGTAAATCGCCGTGCTCTCAAACTACGTAAATATTTCTATATATCTCAGCGTTTTGTAGGTGTAATGCCATTTTGAATTGAATTTGAACTGCTCCATCATTCAAATATAATAATAATAAAAGAAAAAAAAACTATATAAACATATGAAAAGAAATAAAAGCTAAAAAAAATACAAAACCAAGCAACAAAAATACTTTAAAATGAAAATATATAAATAAATAAAATAATAATATTAATAATATAAAAATAATAAAAACTATTATAGTGTATCAATGATTATAAAATATACTATTTATAATTAATTTACAAATATACTGTTAAAATAATACCATCTATCCTTCTTCTGATATAATAGTAAATGTATATATAAAGCAGATGTAAAACAAATCAGAACTAACAAAACTAAAATTAAAATAAAATATACAAATAAAAGCTAACCAATTAAAAAAAAATGACAAAAAACTTAAAACTAAAAAACTTTATCTAAAATTTAAATAAAAACAAAACATGAAAATAAAATGGTATAAAATAAATAGTATTGAAAACTATAAAAGTCTATTAATGACAGAATTGTACAGAATATAGTAAAGAGTCATCAATCAATCAATAAATGTGCCTCACCTGGAGGAAGTCCAAGCATTCTTTAATAACTTTAACTTCATGCTGATAATCTTGGATCATCTTCTCCACCTTCTTCCTGTCCGTGTTGGAGTGAACCGTATCGGTGATGTTTGCCGACGCTGAAGTCACTCCGCCGGCGGTCGCGACCCCGATGCCCACCGCCGTCACGATGAGGGACGTCCCAAAGGTGAAGGGCGCCAGAACCAGGCCGGTGATGGTGGTGATGCTGCCGGCGACGCTGGCCACCCCGCCGCCCACGCTCGCGGTCACCGTCTTCCTGTGGAAACTGTCGGCGGCGTCCGCTAGCGACAGCAGCTCCCGTATGCGCCGCTGCAGCGACGGCTCGCGCTGAGTCAGCAGGTGAACGAATAACTTGGCGGCCATGAATACCCGGTTAGCGGCGGCTTCGATCGCTCTGAGAGCGAGGAGGAAACAAAAAGTTATTTTACATCACACTGGTTTTGATTGTACGCAGATATGCTGCAATATAAAGGTAATGTTTGTGTAGAGTCAATGCAGCCTTTCACAAATGTCACAGAAACCTTCATCTGCACCAGCAAATTTACACTTGTGAATAATATTTGTAATTAGTTTTTATCTTTATATTGCCTGTTTTCATTTTAATTGCACTTAAGGATTTAGTTTTGTTTAATGCCTTTTAAAATCTTATTTCAGATATTTTAGTATATATATATATATATATATATATATATATATATATATATATATATATACAAGAATGTGTTTTACTCTGAAACTGTTTTAAAATCAATGCCATCAATCTAAAGAAGTTGTGTTCCAAATTTCTCAAAAATTGAGCTTTCAGTAAGATTTTGCTTGGGTGCAGTACCAAACGTTTCCATTAGATGAAATTCGCTTCACATTCATTTCCAATGTGGTCATTTTTGACCACGAACAGTACAAGTGTGACTTTTTTTAGGATCATTTAACCTTTTCAAATCATGTTTATAATATATATATATATATATTGTTTCTTTTCCCACAAAGAATGTGGCAAAAACTACCCAGTTTTTGTTTAAATAAAATATATTGTACTAACACTTCAAGAAGGGCCTTTTTTTACTAGGAAAATGTAAATCTTTCTCACCGTTCTCCATCTTTCTCATTAAATTGCTTTGACTCGTTCCATTCACTCCAACCTGAGAAATAAAACAAAAACCCATCTCTGCAAACTCAAACACAAAAGCGCATTTGAGATCACGACTCTTAACTTAGGAAATACCTTCCACGGTTCTCCACCAGGCCAGCAGACCATCTTCATCCTGTGAATGTCAGACGCAACTCAGGTTTCTGACACCAAACAGACTATGTGCATATAAACAAATGTGTGAATTACTAGCAATCAAGGACTAAAGTGAAATGTTAACACACATCTTCATTGTCCAGAGGGGTTCCTTCACCAGAGACGGCGACATCTGTTTCTGCTGTTTGATCTATCTGTAAAATAAAACAAACAAAATGCAATTATCGATATAGTGATGGATTTCTGATTCTCAGTCTTACAAAACATTTCTCAATGCATCAAGTTTCAAGTATGGAAGTTGTGAATTTTTCTCAAGAGTTCTTGGATGTAAATGAAGGCTTTAACAGTCCATCGAAGCTCCAGCTCAAATGTCATCTGTATGTTAGTCATATTTCCAAAATAATCTGTACCTGTAATCTGTTTTTCAAATAAACAAAATTATTACGATTCTGATGATGAATTTTCATGCATTCCCAGTTTTACGGAGATACAATCATTAACCTAATACCAGCAAACAGAGTGATCATTAAAGTGCAAAATAGCAAATAATAAACATATTAAGGAGATTTTACAATTTGTTTTCATAAACAATATCTTGAATAGAGGGCACTTTGTTTTTTTTGTACTAGCTATGCAGTGTTGTGGGTAATGCATCACAAGTAACATGAGTTAAGTAATCAGATTTCTTATTTTTTTTCAAGTAACTAGTAATGTAACATTACTTTTTAGTTTACAAGAAAATATCTACTAGTTACTTTCTCAAATAGGTCACACCAGTTACTTTGTTTTCCTGTCTGCATGTTGAATATGTTATATGTGAATATGTTACTACTCTAGTTCTAGACTAACATGCATTACTCATCTCACTTGCACAAAAACAGATTTAGTACTCCTCAAAATGAATAAAAACGGTGAAATGCAAACTCAGAATATGACGCAAATCTGCAATAATAAAATCTGTTAAATTACACAAATATCCTTTATGCATTTAATCCCATTTTATTAACCAATGTCTCTGCAAAAGTAACTCAAAAGTAACTTTACATACCTTTTTATGGAAAGTACCTTCCTTAAAAAGCAACGAAGTCATGCAATTAAAGTTAAAAAAAGCCAGTGCCACAAGACAAATTGCACTTCTCTGAAAACAAAGACTCAGATGTATAGCTTTTTAATGCTTTAAAAATCTTTGATATTTCAGTAATTGTATATTTACTGTATATTATTTTATATATATGTTTTTATATCTTAGTTTATTTTTTTAATACCATTGTTAAACATTTTAAAGGAAACTTCTCAGTTAAATACACGATGTTATCTGTAGCCTACTTAGTATTATTATTTTATTTTTTTACAATATCTATATAGATTTAAAAAATATATATTTTAGGTTTAGTACAAACAAACAAATGCAAAACAGATGCATACGCATGTGCTGACAGTGAATACGCACCATAAACATGTCAATGTTTGCACTTAAAAGCAATGGAAATCACTGAGGTAACGATGCTCACGGCATGCATCTGTTAACACCCACAGTCATCCAGACTTGTGTCTACACTGTATATTTAACATGTAATATTCTTTTAATTGCATGTAATTAAACACAAGCATGCAGACCAACAGACTGAGTGCTATAATATTTTGTATTCCTAAAATTCCTGCCTTCTGTAGTCATCAGCAGAGACAATAAATGACTGATGAAATCAAACCACTTATGAAGTATACAGTATAAACTATTAATTCAACTGTCTGTGATGCCAGAGGAATAAAATATCACACGCACAGCTGGTCAGACTGGTTTTCCAGTAATTCATCTGGAAATCACATCTCTTAGAGTACGCCTATTGTATATTGTTGAAGTATAAGTGTTCATAACTGACGTCCAACCCTGAAATAATTCAAGACGACATGCTCTCGTACCTGAGCTGTGGATTTCAGATGGTCTCGCATCCCGCCGTGATCCTGAAACACAAAGCACACTTACAGAAGTCAGAAAACATCAACAGTGCGTGAATTAAAACAGTACTGCTGCTACTTGAGATAAAGATGTTAATGATCGCATGTGGCGTTAATGAGATGATGAGGGTTTCGTTAATGACGCAGTCGTCTCGCAGTGTTTACCTGCGTTTTCTCATCTGTGGGAGCTGCTGCAGAGACAATCAGAGGCTCACTGATCTTGTTCTACAGAAAGACATGACAGAGATGCTGAAACAGACAAACATTTACTGCTGAGCTCCGTAAACATCGCAAACGGATTGTGCTGATTCCTTAAAGAGGCTCTGTCTGTGTGTGTGAGTGAGTGAGTATGTGTGTGTGTGTGTGAGTGTGTGTGAGAGAGTGTGTGGGTGTGTGTGTGTGAGTGAGTGTGTGTGTGTGTGTGTGTGTGTGTGTGTGTGGGTGTGTGTGTGTGTGTGAGAGAGAGTGTGTGTGTGTGTGTGTCAGCAGGGCCGGATTTACCTCTTTTCGTGACATAGGCAAAACTAATTTTTGGGCCCCCCTTCCCTATTAAAGTGGTCATATGATGCGATTTCATTTTTTCCTTTCTCTTTGGAGTGTTACAAGCTCTTGGTGCATAAAGAAGATCTGTAAAGTTGCAAGTATTAAAGTCTCAAATCCAAAGAGATATTCTTTATAAAAGTTCAGAGTCATTTCACCGTGGACGAAGCGGAGTCTAGCCCGGGGTCGTCACATGTCCTTCCGGATGCTCCTTTGTCGAAATCGCTGGCTGCGCCGTTCTCAAGCCCGCGCCTCTGCTCACTCTAACCCTCCGGACGTTCCTCACGCTAGCTCCCGGCTTCTGCTCACTGTGTGACGCTGTTTCGTTGTGAAAGCGAAACTACTTTGTTTGATCTTCTAAAAATGGAAACGACTATGTGCAGCACATTTTATGGAGGACTGTTTCCTGGGAGAGTAGACTACAATGCCGGCTGTTCTGACTCAAAGACTGTAAGTACGTCTTTTATGTTTAAAGAGTTTTTATATTTTATACATTTAAAGAGAGTCTTTTGGGCAGTGTAGAGTAGGGCTTGTTGTTTGTCATTTCTCCGATCACAAATGCAGACATGGTTTTATGTTTACGCGGCGCGATGCAACGCAACGCGTAAAAAGACAGTATAAGTCATTATAATCAGTAATTATGTCCCCACTGGATGCAACAAATGCCTCGTTTATAATGGGTTTTAATGTTTTTGTCTCGTCGCTCCGGCCTGACAGGGCATCACAGTATGGTGAGGGGCGTAACATTTCCGTCACACGCTTGAGGTATTCAGCCAATCACAACGCACTGGATAGCTGGCCAATCACAGCACACCTCGCTTTTCAGACCGATGAGTTTTGTAAAAATCGACGCGTTTCAGAAAGGCGGGGCATCGAGGAGAAACAATAATGTACAGTATGTGGAAAAGAATGTGTTTTTTTAACCTTTAACTGCATAAACACATTTCATTACACCAAATACACAACATAATGTTCTTTTTAGCAACATCATATGACCCCTTTAATATTACCACCCAAGCAAACAAAAATATTTCTTAATCAGTGGAAACCGTTATAGTGTTTTCTATCACAATAAGCGCTTGCGTTCAGTCAATAAAAATCGAATGTAGTTCTTAATTTGTTTGAGAATTCAAACAAATTGCATTTCATGCCATTAATAGGCTCGGCGACGTGGCCACATAACCACTTCAGGAGTGCATTATTTCTCTAAATAATTTTAACGGCCTCAATCACACATCAATTGTTCAGATTATTTGTTTCAAGACATTTGACATGTTTGCATCCTGAAATCTTGTGTGTGTTGAACTAGCAAATTTGTTATGCACCTCATCCCAAACCTTCCGTTGCAAATTCCAAAACGTAATTTTACAGTTAATTTTAGAGTTAATAACAGAAGCTTGATATTCAGGCTAACGCAGTTATTAGAGAGAGAGAGCGAAAGTGAGCGAGAGAGAGATTTAGTGCATCTGTGCATCTCTCAGCAGTGATCAGCAGCAGCGTCTACTAATAGCGAATCTTTAAGTTGAACTGCTTCAAGAACCTCGCTACTGAGAAATGTCATGTAGCTTTTCAGCTGCAAAACTTTTTTATTGATAAATTCGCGGGGCGGCGCTGACGACAAGTTTTTGTCGCGTCTCCGCGTGTGTGCGTGTCTATGTGTGTGCGTGTGTGAGAGAGAATAGGAGAAAGAAAGCGTGATATCCGTACATAAAAATAGTTGAAGACATGGAAATAGTTTGTCATTTGTACCCTATTGTTTGTTATATTTATTTGATCAATGTCTTCTGGGGTTTTGGTTATTTTACTCTTGTAGATATCCCATAGTATAATAAAAAATATTATATATCTCTTCATTGTGTTTGGGCCCGCCCTGGACGAGCGAGCATAGACACGTGCCTAGAATGCCTGTGAGTAAATCCAGCCCTGAGTGTGAGTGAGTGTGTGTGCGTATGTGTGTGTATGTGTGTGTGTGTGTGAGAGAGAGAGAGTGTGTGCATGTGTGTGTGAGAGAGTGAGTGTGTGTGTGTGTGTGTGTGTGTGAGAGAGAGAGTGAGTGTGTGTGCGTGCGTGCGCGTGAGAGTGAGTGTGTGTGTGCATGCGTGTGTGTGAGAGAGTGAGTGAGTGAGTGTGTGTGTGCGCGTGTAAGAGAGAGTGAGTGTGTGCATGTGTGTGTGTGTGTGTGTGCGTGCGTGCATGCGTGCGTGTGTGTGTGTGTGTGTGTGAGTGAGTGAGTGTGTGTGCGTGTGAGAGAGTGTGTGTGCGTGAGAGAGAGTGAGTGTGTGTGAGTGAGAGAGAGTGAGTGAGTGTGAGTGAGAGAGTGAGTGTGTGCGCGTTTTTGTGATTTGAGGACACAAACTTGTGTAATGACATGGGTATGACATAGGTATTACAACGAGAAGGTGATTTATGAGGACATTTTGAGTGTCCCCATATTTCAAAAGGCTTATAAATCATTCAGAATTAGTTTTTTTGAAAATCTAAAAATGCAGAAAGTCTCCTGTGAGGGGTAAGTTTAGGGGTAGGGTTGGTGTAGGGCAATAGAAAATACAGTTTGTACAGTATAAAAACCATTACGCCTATGGAGAGTCCCCACAATTCACAAAAACAAACCTGTGTGTGTGTGTGTGTGTGTGTGTGTGTGTGTGAGTGTACCTGTGAGGAAAACCTGAATGGATTTAGTTTTTGAATCATCCCCATGATTATTCCGGGATCCTGAGAATGAATGAATGAATAAATAAATAAATAAAACAATCAACCAAAGCCATCATCACATTACCAGTGTTATTATCGTAAGCTAAAACTAAAGTCATTAATAGTAAAAACTGAAACAAAATTAAATGAAAACATAAACGTACTTATCTAATCTGCAACATTTCTTAAGTCTTATTTATTTATATTTTTAACCATGTTTCTAGAAATAAAATGTTAAACACATATCAGGTGAATGATATATGAACAAATCCCTCAGTAAAACCCTTCAGAATATAGAGAGGAATAAAACTGCCAAGCTTGGTGTCTGTGCGTGCTGCTGAAGTGAAGATACAAGCTCATTTGGAGAAAATGGATCTCAAAGATATGTACTGTAATTGAAATCCACAGACGCAAATTGATAAAGTGCAATAAAATAAACTGTTATATTTTTTCTGTTATATTCCAAACTTGACCAGTGCATGAAAAAACAATGGTTTTTGCTGGTGTGTCTTGCCTCAATTTACTCATCACAACTGTGCTGATAAGTTTTACTGATTAAACATATTCCTCTAAACGTGTTCTTGAATGTTTTATGAACATTCATACAAGCTGATGAAAACAATGTATTCCAGACCTGTTTGTGTTCGGTATCTTTGCTCTCTGCTGCCTCTCCTGTCCAGGTAGAAGAACTGCATACAGGTGTGTCCTACAGCAGCAACGCAACGTATGGTTCAATATATAAGACACAGACAAATAAACATACCCAAACTTGGACATTTATTCACATCTCACTTTCACAAAACCACAACCTTATGAGACTAGGTTTGCATTTTCTGAAGGAAACACTAGAGCATGCAAAGCAAGGAATGATTCAGGAAAGCAGAGGAATGAGTTTAAAGTCTGTAAACACAAAACAGACAACAGTCTAACAAGGTTTCTAGGAAAACGCGAATGAATAAAAGAAAAAGATGTCAATACCGCATAGCCTAAAATAACATATGATAATGAGAAAAATAAGCCTCACCTGTCTGCCATCATTATTTGCTGAAGCTTTGGTTATGGCAGAGCTCTGGCATTAGAAAATAGCGATATCAATAACATATCAATAGTTATACTTTATTGGGTCATTTTCTAAACCCTTAAAGTCATTTTACAATACATTTACAAATTTTTTTGTTTACATTTAACAAAAAACGAGGCCAAAATGTGAGTGTGTGTGTGTGAGTGTGTATGAGTGTGTGTGTGTGTGAGAGAGAGAGAGTGAGAGTGTGTGTGTGAGAGAGAGAGAGAGAGAGAGAGAGAGAGAGAGAGAGAGAGAGAGAGAGAGAGAGAGAGAGAGAGAGAGAGAGAGAGAGAGAGAGAGAGAGAGAGAGAGAGAGAGAGAGAGAGAGAGAGAGAGAGAGAGAGAGAGAGAGAGAGAGAGAGAGAGAGAGAGAGAGAGAGAGAGAGAGAGAGAGAGAGAGAGAGAGAGAGAGAGAGAGAGAGAGAGAGAGAGAGAGAGAGAGAGAGAGAGAGAGAGAGAGAGAGAGAGAGAGAGAGAGAGAGAGAGAGAGAGAGAGAGAGAGAGAGAGAGAGAGAGAGAGAGAGAGAGAGAGAGAGAGAGAGAGAGAGAGAGAGAGAGAGAGAGAGAGAGAGAGAGAGAGAGAGAGAGAGAGAGAGAGAGAGAGAGAGAGAGAGAGAGAGAGAGAGAGAGAGAGAGAGAGAGAGAGAGAGAGAGAGAGAGAGAGAGAGAGAGAGAGAGAGAGAGAGAGAGAGAGAGAGAGAGAGAGAGAGAGAGAGAGAGAGAGAGAGAGAGAGAGAGAGAGAGAGAGAGAGAGAGAGAGAGAGAGAGAGAGAGAGAGAGAGAGAGAGAGAGAGAGAGAGAGAGAGAGAGAGAGAGAGAGAGAGAGAGAGAGAGAGAGAGAGAGAGAGAGAGAGAGAGAGAGAGAGAGAGAGAGAGAGAGAGAGAGAGAGAGAGAGAGAGAGAGAGAGAGAGAGAGAGAGAGAGAGAGAGAGAGAGAGAGAGAGAGAGAGAGAGAGAGAGAGAGAGAGAGAGAGAGAGAGAGAGAGAGAGAGAGAGAGAGAGAGAGAGAGAGAGAGAGAGAGAGAGAGAGAGAGAGAGAGAGAGAGAGAGAGAGAGAGAGAGAGAGAGAGAGAGAGAGAGAGAGAGAGAGAGAGAGAGAGAGAGAGAGAGAGAGAGAGAGAGAGAGAGAGAGAGAGAGAGAGAGAGAGAGAGAGAGAGAGAGAGAGAGAGAGAGAGAGAGAGAGAGAGAGAGAGAGAGAGAGAGAGAGAGAGAGAGAGAGAGAGAGAGAGAGAGAGAGAGAGAGAGAGAGAGAGAGAGAGAGAGAGAGAGAGAGAGAGAGAGAGAGAGAGAGAGAGAGAGAGAGAGAGAGAGAGAGAGAGAGAGAGAGAGAGAGAGAGAGAGAGAGAGAGAGAGAGAGAGAGAGAGAGAGAGAGAGAGAGAGAGAGAGAGAGAGAGAGAGAGAGAGAGAGAGAGAGAGAGAGAGAGAGAGAGAGAGAGAGAGAGAGAGAGAGAGAGAGAGAGAGAGAGAGAGAGAGAGAGAGAGAGAGAGAGAGAGAGAGAGAGAGAGAGAGAGAGAGAGAGAGAGAGAGAGAGAGAGAGAGAGAGAGAGAGAGAGAGAGAGAGAGAGAGAGAGAGAGAGAGAGAGAGAGAGAGAGAGAGAGAGAGAGAGAGAGAGAGAGAGAGAGAGAGAGAGAGAGAGAGAGAGAGAGAGAGAGAGAGAGAGAGAGAGAGAGAGAGAGAGAGAGAGAGAGAGAGAGAGAGAGAGAGAGAGAGAGAGAGAGAGAGAGAGAGAGAGAGAGAGAGAGAGAGAGAGAGAGAGAGAGAGAGAGAGAGAGAGAGAGAGAGAGTGAGTGTGTGTGTGTGTGTGTTTACATTTAACAACAAACGAGGCCAAAATCAAGAACAGTGAGCAAACTTTATGATTTGCTGGGAGTTTGAGGAATTATTATGTATGGACTAATGCAGGTCAAGTGACTGAAAACTCGATGTGGCTTTTAATAAGAGGATGATTACAGCATTATGGCATTCAGGGTCAGATAATTATCCTTTCAAATGAACTGTTACCTGTGACGATGATTTAAAGGGATAGAGATTCTGCATTACACCAATCGCTCCAGTCCTTCCTGTGGAACAAAACACTTAAGCAGCTTCAGAAAAGAGTAATGCACCAACAGCAACCTCTTTAATGAAAGAAAACATCATTAAAACACTGACCGGTTGGACCGGATGATCTGCTCAGGAGGCCGTGTGAATGGAGGGTGTTTACCTGTGCTTTGAGTGGATGCTCTTTTTATAGGCTATGGGTGTTTTTTGCACTATTGAATTCATTTAACTAAAGGTCTTTATTAGTAAACACCAATACGTAGCACTATGCGTAACTTAACAGTAATACCAGCTCAAACTCAAATGAGACAGACACGCCTAAACACGCTTGCGTTCATGGTTTCTTTTCTTTCTTTTTCTCAGTCACAACATTGATGACAGGTTCACATTCAGTCTCACCTAAAGCTGCTATTGCAAACACTCAGTGCGCTTTGATCGGTCTAATGTTTCAACGCTGACGCTGCTGCACTAATAAATATTTTTAACTTGACTCAACACACCTGTCCAAGACGCCTGTATGATGCATGTGTAAGTCATGGCTCCTGAATATTAATTATGTAACCTCATAATGTAGGACAGGGGGTTTTAAACAAAATTCAGAGGGAAAGAATGGTGTAAAAATGCCTTAAAAAGAAGTTAACATTTGACAAATTTTATATTTTTAATGGTTTCGCATTCAATCTTAAGATTGCAATTATATTATTATGTTGTATAGAAATGTATTTAAGTATTCATATCTCTTCCCCTGCATTTATACAGTTCAAATGCAAATGCCTCTAAGTGCCATATAAGATTTTTTATCTAAAATTAGCATTTTTATCAGGCTCCTATGTTCACGTTCAGTAATTTTACTTTAATGGCAATGTAGGCTATAGGTCCTTTCTATGCCATTAAAGTGAAATAAATGAAATATAGGAGCCTGAAAAAAATGCTAATTTTAGATGAATATACAAGGCTGTTGCATCTCAGCTCTTTACATGTATATACATACATTCAGTTTGTATTTGGTTTAAAGCATGGACTTGAGTAAAACTGCTCTGGAACAATATATATAGCTTAAACAGTTAACCTGTCATCATTACCGCGGGAAGTAGGGGTGCTGAGGGTGCGGTTTTAAAAATAAATGAATGAACAATATGTAATACAAAATAAATAATAGAAATTTTATTAATTAGTATATTCATTAAAATTCATTGAAAAAAGTAGCCTAAGCCTACAATGACAAGAAGCAACGGTTAAACATTAGTCAAGTTGAATCAAATTGACTGTGAAAGTCATTTCAACTGACTTAAAAAATAATTTGTTGCCATGATTTTTGGATTATATTATAACCTGTAACATGTCTCTGCCGTTCCCAAATTAAGAATTAACAACAATTTCTACAGACAGCAGAGAAAGAGGAGAGCGTCTACCTCAGCAGCACCTAATCTCGCATTCTCACATCTGTAGCGCTTAGATAGATCTTTAACGTTAGGTCTTTCCTATTCTTGAAACAAAATTAGTTCTTAAGGTTGATTCAATATTACTCTTAATGAAACACACACACACACAACATCAACAATGCTACAATGACAAAGTCGCTTACATAAAACTTTAATGAAGAGAACAAATAAGACCATGGAACGTCTGGGTATGCAGGTGCATATGGGCCCGGGCAGTTTGGGGGCCCGCCGAGCTGGGGGCAACGAGGGAACGAATAGAGCCCTGCACGGGCCCGGCCCTTGTCCAACAGCTTTATGAGAATTCTCGGCCCGAGTCCAACTGGATCCCATGTCTTTTCTCTCTCTCTCTTCCCCATTACACAGCTATTAAAATAGTTCAGTTTTGGTTTTTAATGGCAAAGTGGTCATATTTATTTTTGTTTCTTTATTAAGTTAATTTAGAAATATGTTTAGAACATTTTATGTTTGTTAAATTCATGTTTTTGTTTTTTTTAAAGGAACGACCAAGCGGCAGCGGCAGACAGTGAGTTGAGCATTATGTTTGATCAATTTAGCCTTCTCAAACCAACACGACTTGCCTAAAATAAACAGACATAAAACACTTCATGCATTTCACAGTATTAATGTAAACATTTAACCTAGACAAATGAGCGCTATTGGGTGCATATCCAAACGTTTGTGCGGAGAGTGGAAGCTAAAGCACGCACATTTTATTTAAGAACAGCGGAAACTTAAAAATACGCCGTCATTTTTGCTCATAAAGGTAAGAGTTTATTAACACATAATACTATTTTTGTTTGTTTGTTTGTTTGTTTTTTGGGCTGATGTGCCAAAATTGTGTTTGCATTCAGTAGCCTATATATACGGCAGCATTTTTGTGCCATGTTTAAAAATAACTACATAAATCAAATTAATGTCATAATATTTTAAGAATAAAGTTAAAATTAAGATAATAAAATCATGTTATATAATGTGAAAATTCCACCCATAGGCCTACTCCTCCAAACAAAAAAGCCTGTGGCATCCGTCATTCTTTTGACTTTTTTTAAACTCTGATTGATGATTCATGAGACATTCGTTTGTATTAAGTTGTTCTGATTTTTTTCAACATGCATTCAAATATTCATGTTTATTTCGTGCTGCAAATATTAAAGAAGAAAATAATTTTTTTTATATGATATTATATTAGAATCACTACAAATTAAAGAGCGTAAAAAGACGTTTATTGTTTGTATTTTATCATACAATTGACAGAAGGCTGAGACTTAGACTTTGTAGTAACAAAGCAAAAAGCTGCGATTATTGGGTGACTTTAAATGCATGCTTATGGCTCATTATTATTAATCGAAAAAAACAACAGCAACAAAAAACATTAAACTTTGAACTTTTATTAACAAAATAAATAAGGATATGTTTTACTCGCGTTTAACACAAATAAATAGCCTATGGATTTCCCCTCAGGCTTCCTTAAAAACATTCTTGTCCCGGAGTAATGACTTGCAGCAGAATATAATACTATCATCGGAATTATTCCTACTTTTAAGGTCACGCGCCTCCTGAGGGGAGGGCTCGGCTCATGAATATTAATTAGGTTGCAAGACTGACCGCTACAGGAACGTCACCGTCCCCTAATTAATATTCAGAAGTTGTCCTTTCGCTTCAGGCGATGGAATGTAGGCCTATATAAACTTTTTAAGCACGTGTTTTGAAAGGAAATCTCTTTTAATGTGCAAGCCACACGGAAACACATTAAAAGACCGAGTCATTAAATGCTCAAAACTCTCACAGCTGTTAAGCATTGTTGATGTATTTTCCTCTTTCGACTTCCCCTTAAAGTATTCAAGTTTCATGACAAACCGCAAACAAACAGCGCTTACCTTTACAATGCCCTGATCGTGCCCGTCTTCTCTTTAAATCCCCTCCCAAAAGAAAAGAAAAACCAAAACAAACAGAACGCTGAGGTTTTCAATGTTCTAAAACAATTAAAAGACGCCGTTCAATTCGCTGGCGTTCCGCTGCAAAACGCCCCCCAAATCAGGTCTTCTTGCCTAAAACATGAAAGAAACCCCACTGCGTTCAGCTCCAGCGGCGAACAGACCCCGCCGCCCCTCTCTCACTGTGTGTGAATCCACCGACTCTTCCTCGAAAAGCACATGATCGCGGGGCGTGTTTGAACACAAGTGTGGTTTTCCACTCAAGCTCCAGCTCTTTATGTCCCTCACTGCTTACACAAGCGGCATGGTTTATAGTCTTAAGTGTAGTCATCATTTCATCTGAGATGGGGTTTTTTATTCACCCAGACAGCTAAGTATATATATTTTATTTAATTTTATTAAAATATCTTCATGAACATAACCTTCCTTCCTGTGTTGCACAACATCATGTCAAGACATGAAAGAACTTTGTGTGTGTGTGTGACTGAGTGTCAGTGAGTGAGTGTGTGTGTGTGTGTGTGTGTGTGTGTGTGTGTGTGTGTGTGTG